TAATATATACAACTATACTTATAAAAGGCGTCCCCCTGGTAAGAGAGTTAAATAATAATAATATAGTGTCGAATATAAAATGAGAGAATATGGTTAAACACGGGATTAGTATGTATTAATTGCTAGAGATAGATCTATTATCAATAGGAAAATATAATATCCGAAGACAACAAGGTCAATGACAGTAAACGACTATTATTAATTAATTGATTAAAGATGATGATGAATGATATATGAAGTTAAGAAAATTACAACGTTATTTATACATGTTAAAGGTTCTATCATCTAGTTCTCTGATTTCTTTGAAATCCTAATTTATTCTAATTAAATGCATTACTGCGTAGAATTATTTTCAAGTTATTTCTAAAGTAATCCAATGATTTAAATCCCTTCGTTCAAATTAAATCTAAGAGTTAAAGGTTTGTTACATTTTAGAATGTTAGAATATTTATTTATCCGTTGTTTGAGATATTTTCCGTGAGTCAATTATTTTATTGCTGACTGAATAAAAAATATGAAATTGAACTGGTTTTGAATACTTGATCAATTTTTCCGATTTTATTTGCCGATTTATTTATTGACTTCCCGTGTAATGTAAAATTATTATTTTACAGATTATTCGGAAATGTGCCAAAATTGTGGAGTGATTGCTAGAAAATTTTGTTACTTTCTTTGTTAAAAGGATTACAAAATTGTAAACCTACTACTTCTGATGAAAGTCACAAGGTGGTCATTATTGTAATATTTATCGTTTTTGGGTTATGATATGATGTGTGTAGAGAGAGGTGGTAAAATCAGTCTTTGCCTCATTCAAAAAATGTATCTTGTCTATACTTGTCGTCGGAATTCTCAAACAGAAATAATACGGTTACGGCATGTGCCGTATTATTTGCCGTAAATAACGTAAACCGTAAAACCGTAAATACTGTAATAGTAAATACCAGAAAATAAAAGACATGTGTAATAGTAATGGCATCATGTCTATATATTAATATGCAGCATGGTTTATTTATTATTTATCATTATTTTTACAACAATTAAAAATTCAAATTTCTCCCAAAAAAAATTGCTCTAGCAATTCTTCAGAAAAAATTGCATCAAAATTAACATTATGAGATGAATTTATCTTCTGTATTTTATTAGAACTTGAAAATTGTTCCATCAGTATTTGCATGTATTCAAGTTTCACATTAGTTGACACTGCAGAACAATGTAAAACTAGATGCCCTTTCAAAATTTCAGGTTTCCCTCTAGACCAAGCTTCTGCGCAATAATGACATTTGGCAGAGAAGTGGCCATCTCCAATTGTTTCTTTAAAAAAATGCTCCCAAACAATTGATTCTTTACGACCTCTTTTTGACCATTGCTTTGATGATTACTTGACATGCCCGACCTGACAGAACTCATAGAACTCATTTTTTCCTTTTAATAATTGAAAAATATTTTGTTAAGAAAAAACTTATCACTTCTATAATATAACTATTTCTATAAATATTTATTATCACTCACTGTTGTTTAAAACCTACATTAGTATGTTTATGTTATGTTTAATTGAATTGATAAAAAAGACATTTAATATTATTAAAGGTTCATGGGAAAAATTTTCTATGTTGGTATTAGGTGTTACAGTACTGCTATGGTATTAGGATTCACAGCATTTACGTTATTTACGGCATTTACAGTATTTACGGCATTACGGCATTACGGCATTACGGCATTACGGTTTTACGGTTTACGACTTTTATGACTTTGAGGTCTCATGCCAAAAATCATTTACGGCTTATACGTAATGCCGAATTTGCCGTAATTATGGAATTCCGACGACAAGTATAGGCGTAAAATTTCCGATTATTTAAATAATCATCAGATGGTCGGATACTTATGGTAGGGGAGTGTTTCAGATATTTGTATAAATTCTAACAAACTATTGATTTTTTCTTGTTCTTCAATTGATAAAGTTTCTTTTTGGACATTATCAATTTGATTGTTCATTTCAAGTTATATCAAAAAATTATTAATAAATTATATCATCATACAAATCAAAAAAATTTTTTATCAGGTGCAAGAATATTATGACATTTTAAAAATGATTTATACAATTGAAGTATTAGGAAAAAATTTCTGCAAATCCCATTTGGGTTTTGAAAGAATTACTTTTTAAATGAAAATGTTTTCTAAACAAATATTTTAATTGTTGTAAAAATATATGTTATCTTTATTATCTTTGAAAAATGTTATTTATATAGTAGGATAAGTTACAAATAAGTCAGTGCTATTTATTATCAATCGATAGAATTGTTACAAAATTATTATAATAAATGTTTGGAATAATTACGAATATCCAAAATAATTACGAAATAAATTATATATATTCAAATATCCTTGAATAAATTGATTTTCGAATATTTGTAAAAAAATTTGATTTTTGGTTAGGAACACTAGTATTAACAAAGGTTTTTTTTAAAACTTAACGATTGAACTCATTATATACTAGAAAAAGTAACTGATTTACTTTTTTCAGCAACAGCAAAGTATTTCTTTAAAAAAGCTTTGTTGATTTCTTTAATGATAAAGAATTTTTTTTTGTTGTGGCAAATTAAGAGTTGGAATCGACTAAAATAGTTGACTAAACTTTTTTTTGAGCAACTAATAGTTGACTACTAATACTACTAATACTAATCTAATACTATGTTATTATTGTCTGACCAATTACGATTTTTGTGTTTTATCATTCAAAATGGAAAGTTTCTATGCGGAAGAGTATCAATATCATCAATATGATGATGACGACAATAGTAGTGGAGTTGTTGATGATAATTTTACATGCGAATGAATAAACACTTCCAATACAAGGTCCAATAGTTCATTGGCTTCAAGTTCCAATGATTTAAGTGGTGGTTCCAGAAGACCTTTAAAAAACGAATCATAACACATGGTTTTGTGTGGAAGTATTTGAAAGATTCAAATGGAATGAATTTGTAATTTGCAAATTAAAAAAAAAAAAACGAAATAAAAAAAAAATTTAGTTGACTAAAGAAATTTTTGACCAACTAGTAGTCGACTAAGGATTTTTTGGACGATTCCAACCTCTAGATGTGTATGATGTAATGCTTAACACATTCTTTCCGGTCTTTTTTATCATCTTGTTCAATATTTCAGGGAAAACTGGACGCATCAAAAAATGTTCTGTTGCCATTACTGGATGACATATTGTCACTTGGGTGATTCCGCTGGTGATTTCTTTGGCCAATGATGATTTGTTGACCATAAAGATATTTTCTTTTGTAAACATGGGTTTGCATTTAGTAACCGTGATAATTAAGCATAAAAAAGTCAAAAAAGTTTTTGAAAATAGATCTGATTATTATTATTAATTATATTCTTGATATTTCTCCCAGCTACAGTCAAAACTAAATTTTCCTACATGATTTTTCTCATTTCGAGTTCTGGAGTGTTATTATTACAACTAGACATCTTTTTGATCCGATTAATATATATAGTATTTCCTTACATTATTTGGGATATTGTCAGCTACAGCATTCACTATTTTTATACTTCTCTGTATTTGGCAAGAAGATCATTAATATATTCTTTCTTCCTACATGGTTTTATCTCCCAAATATTCTGCAAACATTATTTATTGTGTCAAAATGGCCAATTGATTTTTACTTTGTCAAAGCATGTGTTTGTATCGGTTCTCTCTTTAACAAGGAATGTATCCTTCTTTACAGAGGAGAAACCAGCGCCTGGTGACTTTCTGGCTACTTTAACAAAAATTACATAGATAAATGTCTAGAGAAGGATGAAAATCTAATAATAGATGAAGAAAGGAAATGAAGAAGGAAAGGGAAATGGCTGAAATGAAAAAATCAATGAAAGAAATTAACAAATCAAGGCCGAAATGAGAGAATCGATAATGACTGAAATGAAAGAATGAAATTGAGCGAGAAAAAGGTAGCAAGTATAACAATAATGATGATTTTAGAAAGGAATATTGCTGGGTGGCTTTTCGTCACTAACAATATATTTATTTATTTACTATTACATCATTATAAATAAAAAAATTAAAAAAAAGATATCATTATTTAATAAAAACATAGTAATAGTAATTAGTAAATTGTGGGGATTTTTCACTATTAAATGGTTACAATTGGCCGTTTTTACCAGCACACATGATAAATATTACAGAATATTGAATAACATGATGCAAAAAATACCATATTCATCAGGATCTTAAATTATAAAATTGCATCGCGATGTAAAACGAGTACCATTGCACATCCTTATTTCAAGATGCGCGGCCTACCCAACATTGCACAACGCATTGTTACATTGCGATATACATCTTGATTTTTTATATTTAATTTTTTATTGTTAAATTAATAAAAATAAAATATATATTAATATGTATATAATTCAATTTGAAAATTACATTTTTCATTAATTATAATATATAATCATGGTAGCAAAAAATTAACCCATGCAATTATTGATTGACCAATTGACCAATCAAAATCGTGAATTTGATAATGTAAAAATAAATGTTGGTTTGATTCATTTCATCAACAATCACTTCACCAACAATTGTTTCGTTAGCAAATGGTTTAAATTTAGGAAGTTGGAAGCAACCCTTTGAAATAGTCTAATAAATTAAATTGTACTATATACTCGAAAATGTATTTAAAGGGTTGGTTTTCGACTTGGTTTAAAGGATAACTCTCTTCCTAACTCTTCTCTTGACCATATCTCTCGATATAATCAAAATAACCTTAATATAATGTATGTCGATGAAATGATTGTAAACACACCCAATATTTAAGATATACGATTAAGACAAAACATGAATGATATATGAAAAAATCAAACAAATTTATTTAATAAAACAAAATTTACAACCAAAAAAATGTTTTTCTGCATGTTCTAATAAAATTTCCTTTGTTGCATCATTTATTGCTGATTCAACGTTACACATATCACCATCAACTGTATTTTCGATATTTTCGATAAATTCATTTTCATTTAATCTTTTCGTCGTACTTTCTTTTAGTGCGTTGACATTTTTTTTGATTTCGAATTGAAGATAGTCCAAGGTATCAAACATTTAGATTGGCACCTTTGTAGACAATGATTGTAACAACCATGTCCAAGTCTGAGTATATACACTACAATTATTCAAATTAGTATATTTAGTGTAATCACAATATATGTAATCGCAAAAAATGTTTGTAGATGATTTCCTAGAAGTAACAAAGCTTTTTGGAGGTGACGATCGGTTATTTCGTAAACTAAAGAAGGCAATTTGTATGAGTTAATACCATTAGATGAAGTTTTAGTAATCAAAGGATACTGATTTCATGCTTGATATATCTTCACAAACACATCTAGAAACATTACAGCACACTTTCGGGAAAGCATATGCAATTGCTTCAGTGTATATGGATATTTCATAGAATCTATGAAATGTTGTCGAAAAGTATTATCCTTTCGATGCTGAAAAATAAAACGTGCCATCTTTTTCAGTTGTTGTGCAGTAAATAATATATTAAAGGAGAATTTTAGTTTGAAATGAATAGAAAAAAAGTTTTTTAAAAAAATTTAAGTATATTAAGCTTTAAACTTACTACTATAATTTGCGTTGTAAAACTAATTTCGTTTAACAACGTGATGTACAACTCAATTTAAAAGTAGTACAATAGAATATAGCCGATAAACGCAAATCTACGCGATGTAAATTTGATTTTTTAAGATCCTGATGTTAATGTCATTATTCATAATAAATAATTAAATAATTGCATCACCCCAGTAATGGTAATACCAAGATCATGCAGAAATGGACTTTATAATTTTGAAAAAAGTCATATGATGAATGTAAAGGTAGCAGAATTGAAAAATAATCCCTTGATATTTTTGTTGAATTTTAATCTGAACTTCCTTTCCATCTAGGATAATGGTTTCATTGTTTTGTCATCAAAATACTTAGCAAATAGTTTTACACGACCCTTTACTTTATCTCCTGATGCTTGTCTAAAACGTTGTTCACTTTTAATATCACATTGTTTTAACTGTTTTTCAGAGTATTTGTCAGAGAGTGTAGAAAATAAGCAAGGTAAAGTGCCAGCAAATGGTCTTGATGTTCTATTCACTGAAGTTCAAAAGAAAAAACGGAAAAATTATTTTAAAAAACAATAAACAAACTTTTATTACATAAATTTAGGCAATAGCATACTTTCTACAAATTAACAGATTGTTGTGGATTTTGAATGGATTATAAGAAAACAAGTTTGGTAGTATTTATTTCAATTATTATAATTAGAATGTTTTTAAAAAAAATTTTTTTTATAAGGCAACAAAGTATCACGTTAACTCGTTTGTAACATATATGAATTGATTGACAAAAGTGTTCCAATTTTTCCAGAATCTATTTCCAAATTTGGAAAAAATCCTGACTGTATTAAGCATATAAATAATCAATCGGCAAGAACATTGGTATATAACGAAATAAAATTGTTACTCCCTGATATTACTAACATAAATTTGCGTCAGAGAACCTTTAGAGCTAAAAAAATTTATACATTATTTATGGGAATAGGGATAGATAGAGTTAGACAAGTAAGTTATAGTGCAAGCACTATTTCAAGTCTAACGAAAAACCAAATACAAGATATTATAAATCATTTTTCCAAGAAGTCTATTGATACAAATGAATTTCAAAAAGTGATCAATGTTACAAATTATAACGCACACGTGATAAAACTATCTAATTCAAACGATATATCAAACTCTAAGGTAAGTATATCTAATGAATCGATTCCCTTAGAATCATCTATCGATTTGAAAAAATTACCAGAAGTGCTCATCAAAAATGAATCAGATATAGACACTCTTATCGACCTTTTACAGGCAAGATTCAAAATGTCTAAAGAAAAGCTAGAACAGTGGAGAGAAAATATTGCTTTTGAATTGCAGGATAATTCTGATTACTGGAAAATAACATGTGAAAGTATGGTTGATGCAGATTTTCTAGAATATAAGCAAGACTTTGAAAAAACTATACAGGTTCCCACTACACCATACAAAAAAGAACTAAAAGAGTGTTCTTTAGCCCTTATTTCATATGAGTAACTTTACTGTTTTCACTTACTTTTATCTCTAGTGTGTATATAATAATAGACAAGATATGTGGGCATAGAGTCTTTGACTCATATTAAGTGTTCTTCTATGGACAATTGATCAAGATATTCTCGAAATTTCTAAATTTTTTTATTCTGTTGGATCGGTACTGATATGCTAAAAATACTCACATTCCTGCCAACATCGAATCTATTTCCGCAATCTGGGAATCAAAAGGATTATAATGCATGGAATGCGCTTTCTTCAAAAGATCATTATTCTTAGACTGAGGCGTAGAAATTTGAGATTCAGGTTCAGAATCAGAAGTATCGCCCTCAGCATAATACTTTCCAGAATCAAAACGGTCTATCTTATGTCTCAATGCGATTCTACAAAGTAAATCAAGACGTTGGGTTGTTGGATTTTGTCCACCATGAACTCTAGAAGCATGTTTACCTCCTATTTTTCTCAACCTTTTGGCTGTAATACCATATGGCTTTAAAAATTTGCTAAATGCTCTGGTATTACGTTTTCCATTATCACGATATACAGGATCACTTATCTTTCTGGTTGCTATTGCATCTTGGATCCAAATAAGCAATTCTCTTGCACATTCTGGATTCTTTTCCATGGAAAGGAATTGTCAGGGCACAGGATTAAATTTCATTTCTTGCTAATTTTTAGCGTATCCTGTACAATACCAAGAATAGCCAGGTTTGTACCATTTTAGATAGTCTGATTCTTCGTAATGGATAATGCAAAGAGTGGTAACTTCAGCAGGTCTCATGCTTAACATCATGATTACATCCGCAAGATCTTGCATAGTGGGAATTTTAGTAGTGTCGATATTTTGAATTCTTCTAAGTCCCTCATCTAAGGAGAAGTGCTTAGGAGTTTTAGGCGGATTAGCTAATCTCTGTACGAGTTGTCTTTTCTGAATTTCGTTAGATTCTTCAGTAGTAGTTGGGTTCTTAGCTAATAGAATATTTTTGGGATCAGCTCCAGCTTCTGCCAATTCCTTACGGAATAATGTAAGTCGTGAACTGGAAGCAACTTTTTCCTTATCGCTATTGTTTTTTGTCTTCATTAAATCTAAAGTATTAGCGAATATATCAAATGGATCACCACTTTTAGTGCAATACTCAGCTCTTTCCTTGATGGTAAGTTTTTCATTCCTTTTATCCGGCACAAGAGCCTTGATCTGATCTTTACTGAATGAATGTCAATGAAGCAAGTCTTTCATACTTTTTCAAGCCTTCCAGTCTGGTAACATAACACTAAGTTCGCTAGCATAGTCGCATAATTGAGATGGATTGGATTCGATAGTCAAGTTGTATTTTTTTAGGACCTGATCCAAAATCGATGTAAAGTTATTAGTTTTGGACTTTTGAGATTTTTGAGCAGTTTCCATAATAGCCATTTAGATAATATATATACACAGAAAGTTTTAGTATACGAATACTTACAAATTCGAATCTTTAAAATCAAAATATTATTTAGCTGGGGTTTTGAATATTTATACGATTCACTTATAATAAAAAGCGAAAGGATAATTTAACGTAATAATAATCTTAAACATTTATCTTATATGGAGCTACTTTCCGATAAAGTGAAGTCCACCTTACATCACTCCGACAAAGCTGAAAATAATTATACATTAAAGTCCTGGATTTGCCGATATATCAAAAAAGATGGATCTATCTGTGGAAAAAAATGTTTGCGAATGTCAGGATGTGTCAGGCATTACAAGTCGCTGCCAAAAAAATTATGTGCGTTCTGCAATAAGCTGACCTATTCCCAAACCGATTTTTGTACTATGTATGCCACAACTATTTACAAGAACAATTGGCAAGATAGACAAAAAAATCACCGCGTTGATTCTGAGCGTTAGATAGTGTCACTTCTCAGCAGAGCCGGCATGGCCAAAAAATTGAATATTTTTTATTGCCAAGAGTGATCAGCCGTTTAGAAAAAAAACACGTATTTCATACATTATTTTTTTATTTTAGAGATTTGATTTTGTATTATAGATATACTGAAAACTTTACACCTACATATGGTGTCTACACAATCTACGCAAAAAAATCCCGATCTCAGTTCCAGTCCACTCATTGTCTCTAAACAAGAGGATGATGCTTTGTTTAATCCATTCTTGCTCGAAGAATATGTGAAATACTGCAATCTGCCAGCTAAGTCTCAGAATGATTCTTTTGATGACTCAAAAAGCTCACCTATGGATGCGCAACCATTAGTCAAGTTCCAGCATTTAACGGACCTTGATTACAAGCCTAGTAATATACACTGCCTGGAAGAAAGTATCTGAACCTCAATTTTATTAATTCCGCAAACTTTTACATAATAATAAAAATTTTGAAAATATCATCATGTAGCTTAGGTTCTAACGAACGTGTATGCAATCTTTCACAATTCTGCTATTTATAATAATTTTTTAACAAAAAAAAACGAACTTCAATTAATATAAAAAATATAAAAAATGATCATCAAAAATTTCTAAAAACCAAAATTTATTAAAACATCACAAGTTCATGCAAATTTTTGCGAATTGTTTTAACTGACACTTCAACACCACTGACACCAACAAATTTTCTTTGAATCTCTTCTGCAGAACTGCGATTATTTTTTAATGCAATTTCTCTGAGAGTTTTTTGTTCACTAACATTTAATGCACAGGGACGTCCACTTCTTGGTGCACTTAGGCTTTCAGCATTTTCATAACGTTTAATGGTATCATAAAATGTAGTTTTTGGAAGCTTAAGTATCTTTACAATTTTATTAAGACTACTACCGCCTGATTTAAGACCCCAAAATTTTCCACACTCAGCTTCAGTTAATTCGGAATTTTTTGGCATTTTTAAAAATTTTTTTTGATTTAATCGATTTTATTATTGTCAGATTATTTTTAATAACAAATTTTCTACCAATGACAGGAGAATAATTTTTTCCATAATTATATCTTAGAATTTAGGCTACAAAATGGTGTTTTTGGTTTTTTTCTCGTTATGTAAAATTTTGAGAAAATACAAATTTAAACAAAATTCGAGGATGAAAATCACAAATTTAATTGAAGTTCGTTTTTTTTTGGTTAAAAACTTAATATAAATACCAGAATTGTGAAATATTACATACACATTTGTTAGAACCTAAGCTACATGATGATATTTTCAAAAATTTTTTTTATTATGTAAAAGTTTGCGGAATTAATAAAAATCGAGGTTCGGATACTTTCTTCCAGGCAGTGTATATATATATATAAATATACATACATACTGTACATATTTATAAAAATGAACCAAATTCAAGTCTAAGTATTTTAAACATAACTGACAACTTCTAGCTTCTTAATCTAATAGTTTATTTTTTATTTTAAATTAGAATCAAATTATAAATGCAATCAGTGTCAAATTATATCTGGTTTTTGGAGTGTTACTATTACAAAAAATAGAAGAGGATGGAGAGGATGGAGAGTATATTGCAAAAATAAAAAATTTTTTTTCCGAAGAAAAATAAGTTTTTATGAAATACAAAGTATTTTTAAGAATATATCATCAGTAAAAAAAAATTCATTTTAAAAAAATGATATGTTACTATAGAGTGAATTAATCTACTTTTTGCATCGTACTATGTTAAAATAAATGGACCAGCACTAATGTACAAAATACAGTACAAATGAAAAAATTTATTCTTCCGAAAATTTTTGGCAATTTCCTTTTTTTTTTCAGATACTATTTTCAGCTGCTATCAATTATATGGAATTGAAATACCATTATATTTATCATGTTAAATTCTGGAGTTCACTGTCCAAAAGAAAATTATACACTACAACTTGATATATGTAAACAAACGCAATTTTTGAAAATAGTGTAATTGTTGTGTACCAATAGTGGAAATAACATAACTTATGTTATTTCCACTTAGCCTAGGTTATTTCCACTCAATGACGACGGTGGCCATTTTCTGTCGTCAGGCCACATGCGAAATTTCATATATCATTATGATATATCAGGATGGTGTTGTATTCCCATTTAAGAAGTAAATCGAATGACGATGGTGGCAAATTTCCGTCGTCAGACCACGTACGACGGTGGCGAATTTCTGTCGTCAGGCCACATGCGAAATGTCATATATTATTATGGTATATCAAGATGATGTTGTATTTCCATTTAAGAAGTAAATCGGGGGACGATGGTGGCGAATTTCCGTCGTCAGACCACGTACGAACTATCATATATTGGTCACGTATCAATATGGTTGATTCTGAATTTTTGGCCACACTCGAGGGTGGTGCGATTCAAAAAATTGGCCACGTTTGGATGAAAAAAATATGTGCCCGGTATTGATTGCGGGTTGATTAGCGGAGTATATAGTTAAGAAGGCGCCTGATTTTTTCAAGCCCAGACTCCGACATGTAACATTTGTGTCCATCGTCCACACGTGTGGGGCGGTCATCTATAAGTATCACTCTTGGAAAATGCTTTAGAGATGGTTTCTAATATGCGGAAAAAGAATTTTTCGGTTAGATTTTGGTTAGATTTAGGTGCATATCAGGAACTTGATCTGTGCCGTTTTTATCCAAGGACAATTTTTTTCTGGAAATGCTTTAGAGCCTGTTTCTGAATGCACTAATGTCAATTTACTTTTATGTACACTTTCAGTGATCGTTATTGACGTCCATAACGATGGACTTTTGGTGACGCTATTGACTTCAATGCTAGGATGAGGCATGAAATGCCGAATTGGCAATCCGTATTTTGGCTTTGCATGTCACATTCGAGTTCGAGGATGAGGCACGTTGTGCCGAAACAGTATTCATGATCTGGTTTTTCGTGATGCATTCGAATGCCAGCTTTGAGGCACGTAGTGCCGAAATTGTATACTTACCTGGTGTTATCCAAAGGCACAATTTTTATAATATATATCTTTCTATAATAATTATACTTTTGGGTATCACTTTTTTCTATACCTGAATCGTATCTATTTGGTGATATGCAAAAGCACAATTTTTATAATATATATCTTTCTATAATAATTATACTTTTGGCTATCACCGAAAGTATACTATGTTTTGCGGTCCTGGAACACTTTCTCGCATAGTTGATGCTTTTGAGTATCATTTTTTCTTGTCAAAAAATTGACCTATGCTTTGTCATTTTACTATCGAAAAATTTATCCTTACTTTTACGTATCACTTTTGTGTATCACTTTGGATCAAAAAATTCCTGTAAAAAATCGGATCTTTACTGAATCAAAGAATTTGTTTGCACGCGTATCACCATATAAAAAATTGGATACATTACATCAAAAATCGGATTTTACTTTTGCGTATCACTTTGGATCAAAAAATTGGATCATACTTTTACGTATCACTTTGGATCATACTTTTGCGTATCACTTTTGCGTATTACTGGATCATACTTTTATGTACTACCGATTCAAAAAATTGGATACCTTTGCGTATTACTTTTACATATTACCATATCAAAAAATTGGATTGAAAATTTTAATCTTACTTTTGGGTATCACTTTTACGTATTAGTATATATCAAAAAATTAGATCAGACTTTTGCGTATCACTTTTCCGTATAAAAAATTGGATCATACTTTTGCATATTACTGGAACGAAAATTTTAATCTTACTTTTATGTATCACCATATCAAAAATTTTGATTACTTTTGCGGATCATCATATCGAAAATTTTAATCTTACTTTGCATATTACTGAATCTAAAAAATCGGATCAATCAGAATCGCACGACACAAAAATCCCCATGGTACCTTAGTATTATTTTCCTGCAATTATTTTTCGATTTGAATTTTTTCGTGCTTTTATTATAAGAAGCGACAAAAAATCCCCTTACCTGAAATGAATGGTTAGTTAAATATAGGAATCTCCTGCCAGAAGTATACTACTAAACTAGATCATTGGTACACTGAATGATTACATCCGCAAGATCTTGCATAGTGGGAATTTTAGTAGTGTCGATATTTTGAATTCTTCTAAGTCCCTCATCTAAGGAGAAGTGCTTAGGAGTTTTAGGCGGATTAGCTAATCTCTGTACGAGTTGTCTTTTCTGAATTTCGTTAGATTCTTCAGTAGTAGTTGGGTTCTTAGCTAATAGAATATTTTTGGGATCAGCTCCAGCTTCTGCCAATTCCTTACGGAATAATGTAAGTCGTGAACTGGAAGCAACTTTTTCCTTATCGCTATTGTTTTTTGTCTTCATTAAATCTAAAGTATTAGCGAATATATCAAATGGATCACCACTTTTAGTGCAATACTCAGCTCTTTCCTTGATGGTAAGTTTTTCATTCCTTTTATCCGGCACAAGAGCCTTGATCTGATCTTTACTGAATGAATGTCAATGAAGCAAGTCTTTCATACTTTTTCAAGCCTTCCAGTCTGGTAACATAACACTAAGTTCGCTAGCATAGTCGCATAATTGAGATGGATTGGATTCGATAGTCAAGTTGTATTTTTTTAGGACCTGATCCAAAATCGATGTAAAGTTATTAGTTTTGGACTTTTGAGATTTTTGAGCAGTTTCCATAATAGCCATTTAGATAATATATATACACAGAAAGTTTTAGTATACGAATACTTACAAATTCGAATCTTTAAAATCAAAATATTATTTAGCTGGGGTTTTGAATATTTATACGATTCACTTATAATAAAAAGCGAAAGGATAATTTAACGTAATAATAATCTTAAACATTTATCTTATATGGAGCTACTTTCCGATAAAGTGAAGTCCACCTTACATCACTCCGACAAAGCTGAAAATAATTATACATTAAAGTCCTGGATTTGCCGATATATCAAAAAAGATGGATCTATCTGTGGAAAAAAATGTTTGCGAATGTCAGGATGTGTCAGGCATTACAAGTCGCTGCCAAAAAAATTATGTGCGTTCTGCAATAAGCTGACCTATTCCCAAACCGATTTTTGTACTATGTATGCCACAACTATTTACAAGAACAATTGGCAAGATAGACAAAAAAATCACCGCGTTGATTCTGAGCGTTAGATAGTGTCACTTCTCAGCAGAGCCGGCATGGCCAAAAAATTGAATATTTTTTATTGCCAAGAGTGATCAGCCGTTTAGAAAAAAAACACGTATTTCATACATTATTTTTTTATTTTAGAGATTTGATTTTGTATTATAGATATACTGAAAACTTTACACCTACATATGGTGTCTACACAATCTACGCAAAAAAATCCCGATCTCAGTTCCAGTCCACTCATTGTCTCTAAACAAGAGGATGATGCTTTGTTTAATCCATTCTTGCTCGAAGAATATGTGAAATACTGCAATCTGCCAGCTAAGTCTCAGAATGATTCTTTTGATGACTCAAAAAGCTCACCTATGGATGCGCAACCATTAGTCAAGTTCCAGCATTTAACGGACCTTGATTACAAGCCTAGTAATATACACTGCCTGGAAGAAAGTATCTGAACCTCAATTTTATTAATTCCACAAACTTTTACATAATAATAAAATTTTTTGAAAATATCATCATTTAACTTAGGTTCTAACGAATGTGTATGCAATATTTCACAACTCTGGTATTTATATTAATTTTTTAACCAAAAAAAAACGAACTTCAATTAAATTTGTGATTTTCATCCTCGAATTTTGTTTAAATTTGTATTTTCTCAAAATTTTATGAGAAAAAAACCAAAAACACCATTTTGTAGCCTAAATTCTGAGATATAATTGTGGAAAAAATTATTCTCCTGCCATTGGTAGAAAATTCGTTATTAAATAATAAAATCAATTAAATCAAAAAAAATTTTTAAAAATGCCAAAAAATTCCGAATTAACTGAAGCTGAGCATGGAAAAATTTTGGGTCTTAGATTAGGCAGTAGTAGTCTTAATAAATTGTAAAGATACTTAAGCTTCCAAAATCTACAGTTTATGATACTGTGAGATAGTAAAATGAGGACCGATAGAGAGGTCCCGCGTTGCCGATCCAACCAAACCAAATTACTGCGGAAG